CCCCCAGTTGAGGGAACCTCAGCAGCATCTAGTCCAAAGCGCTCAGGGCACACCTGAGGAAGCTGCAATAAAGCTGCCGAGGAAGCGATGGCCAGGGTGTGGACGTTAACCGGGTCCTCTCCACTTCCAGATGGGGCAGGCGACCTGGCCACGCTCCCTCCTCAGGGTTTAGAGAAACCAGTACACATGACCAGCCCGGGCACTTCACGTCGTTTCACACCTAATCTCTTCGCAGACAGGGTCGTGACGATCAACAAACAGCAGATGGGAAATTAAAATTACATTTGCTGAAGTAAAGTTACTCCATGCCTGCTCGCCTGCCTGCTTAGTTTACAGTCTTCTGGCAAGAGAAAAATCCGAGTTGGTTCTGCTGGTACGTCGTCTACACACAAACAATACCCGAGACCAATGCCACCAGATGGTTATCAAACTCAAGTGGTCCCCAAAAACCATTCATGGAAACAAAACAAACGAAGAAAAACCAATCTTTAAAGACTTAGCCCTGGGTCTTAAACTTCCATCGCACTCTTTATGGACGACTTGCTGCTATTTCCTTCACTATGGTTAAACTTCAATGTTCTTGCAGCCATTCCTGACCAGCCATCCAAAGGCTTCACTGGAGGCTTGGGATCACCAGCACAAGTGGTAAAAGTGCTTGCTGACACGCTGGGGCGCATCCCTCGGCCCCAGTTTTCCGTAGATGCCTTCCCAAGGCTGGGGAACATTTCTAAACTAGTGGACTAAAAGCATGAACACCTAACACCTGTTGCCACCTTAGGGATACCCATTTTTAAAAGGGGGTGGAGTCACAACGACATGAGCTTCCACCACGCGCCTTGCGCGGGACCTCCCACGCGCTGAGACGCTCCTGGCCACCCAGGGCTCCCACGCAAAGGCTTTGTCCCAGGGTCCCGCTCCCCACGCGGGACCTTTCCCGAGGTCTTTACGGCAAACTTTCTCTCCCGCCGCCCGCTCACTGGCTCCGCATTCCGACACGTCGGTCGGCCGCCTAGCCGGCAGCTGCCCTCTCGGGCGCCCCTGCCAGCGGGCAACGTCGGCCGGGCCCGCTGCCGAAGACCTCCCAGGCCCGAGGCTTGCCGCTGGTGGTGACCGCCGTCCTGGCGGCTCCTGAGGCGCGTAGCCGCAGCGTTCAGCGCCGCGGCACTCGGCCTCCTGCCCTCGCCCGCGAACTGGTCGGCCCTGCCCGCCCGCGGGATCCCCTGTGCGTCGGCCTGCGTCCTCACCTGCCGGCTGCGGTCCCGGCGTGATCCGTACGGACTCCAGGTCTCGGCAGCTCCGCCGACCGCCGCGCCAGATCTGCCAGCCAGCCGCCTCCCGGCACGCCCGCCCAGGCGCTGCTGCGAGCTCGCTGAGTCGCCCCCCGCCTATCCCGACGTGCTCGTCAGTGGGCTGGGATCCTTTGGGGTGTCGGGGCCTGCCCGCGTCCCGCGGCCTGGAAGTGCGGCACAGAGTTCTGATTGGTGAACGAACGGGGAGGAGGCGGAGCTAAATCGACAGGCGGAGTCGAATGCAAATCAGCGGAGATTCGCCTAGGCGGACGGTGCTCGGTCCTGGGGGACTGGGGAGGTGGGGGGGGGGGCTCGGCTCGGCAGGCGGGCCTCAGCCTGGGGCGGGGCTCTGAACCCGCGGCTGGGCCCCGGCGGCTCACCTCGCCGGGTCGGGGGCGGTTCTGGGCGCGGCTCCTCTCTTCCCCGCTCCAGCCCAGCCCGCCTGCTTGTCCTACCCCCGGATGCGTTCCTCCTGGGGCTACCCGGACCATGGCCTAAGGGCACTGACTGCTGAACAGTGACGTGCTGCGGTGGGCAAGGGAAGGCGGCCCACGTCCTCTCAGCCTCGTGGTTCCCCCTTTAGCTTCGCGACTACCACTCGGGAATGGAAATGTGACAGTACGTCTTGGGTCTCCCAGGCCCGCGACCACTAGGTGCACACACCCCTTCTTCTAGGGGTTCAGTGAACTCCTACGCATCCTTCAAGCCCTACCCAACTTGCCCTCAGCACCAAGTCCTGACACCCGCCCTCCTGGGGCAGACCAGGAGTGCCACCGGCTGCTGTCAAGGAGATAAAGGTAGGATCAACTTGGGTTCATTCTCAAGGGGACCCCCCACCCCCACAGTGTTTCACCTCTTGAGCTTAGTCAGACCCCTCAGGTTTCCTAGAGGTTCAAGGAACTGATGCTCCCCACAGGGCAGCCTCAGGGTCTGAGGCTCTGCAGAGACCCAGCTTGGCAGGCCATCCAGACAGCTCTGTAGGGAGCGGCCCCTCCATCTCCCGGCCCCATGTCTCCCACCACTCCCTTGAGGCCTTGCCTCTAACCGGCCCCCAGCACCAAAATTGGAGTCCAGAGAACTGTCCTCACTGCCCCCAGGGTGGCACATGTCTCAGGACTGGCCGCAGGGCAAGTGGGGGCTGGGAACAGAGAGCCTGGTCCCAGGGATGGGTGACTCCCCGGAGGCTGCAGGGCCTCTACTAGTGCCAAACAGGAGGGTACAGGCTGACCTGAGGGAAGAAGTGGAGATGGTGTATCTTCTACCCTGGGGTCTGTGCAGGTGGTTCAGGAAGCACTAAAGGTCCTTGGGTGGTCAGTGGTGGAGGCAGCAAAGAGCATCCAGCCACCTGGATCAGGCCTGCAGTTCAGGTTCAAAGTTTCCTCTGTAAGTGGCCGCGTGTTCCTTATCCGTCTCTTCTCAGAGATATTTAGAACAGAAATGATTTCCTAGATCTAGTCCAAGCACCACTGGACTCCTAATAGTGCTGACTTTTATTTTTATTTATTTTTTAAAATTTTTTTTTTTCCAACGTTTATTTATTTTTCGGAGAGAGACAGAGCATGAACGGGGGAGGGGCAGAGAGAGAGGGAGACACAGAATCGGAAACAGGCTCCAGGCTCTGAGCCATCAGCCCAGAGCCCGACGCGGGGCTCGAACTCAGGGACCGCGAGATCGTGACCTGGCTGAAGTCGGACGCCCAACCGACTGCGCCACCCAGGCGCCCCTATTTTTATTTTTTTTAACATTTATTTACTTTTGAGAGAGAGAGAGACAGAGAGAGAGAGAGACAGAGCACGAGTGGGGGAGGGGCAGTAAGAGAGGGAGACACAAGAATCTGAAGCAGGCTCCAGGCCTTGAACTCATGAACTCAGGCCTTGAACTGATGTGGGCCTTGAACTCATGAACCGTGAGATCATGACCTGAACTGAAGTTGGATGTTGAACCGACTGAGCCCCCCAGGCACCCCGTAATAGTGCTGATTTTTAGCATACACTCACTATAGGTAGGTGAGCAGGTCACCCATAATTCCTTCCTTCCTAGTCTTTATGGCTCTTTCCCTCGGGCTGGGATCGCCAATACAAAAGGTTGGTACTGATATTACTGGTGCAAATAATTCTTCCTGATTTTGTACACAGATGTTTTGTAGGGCTTTGAACCCTTCCCAGAAGACATTACACCTTCATAAAGAACCAAAAATAACTATTCACTTCATAGCCAAACAATAGTGCTTTATTGATAAAAGGTTAGTTTCAATGGATACAAAATTGCTATGTAAAATAAGTTTTCAAAATACACTTCTATAGGTAAAGACTATCTCTTAGTAAAAGCAATTATCTATAGTGAAAGTATTTATTTAGAATTGGGCAGCACAACAAAAGGGGATTTAGAGGGGAGACAATGTAGGTCCACCTGCCCCCTACACCTGCAGAAGCCTTATGGGATGGCAGCTGGCCCTAGTAGTCTTACTCAAGCAGACACAGGGCTTGTACTGACCACTTGCACATGTGCCCCCAGCTCCACCCTTTAAACAGCTTTTACTAGTGTAGTTCATGCCAAAATAACCCAAACAATTGGCCTTGCACGGACGCGGACGCGCTCTTTAGAGCACTTTCCCCTGGTAAAAACTCGGTACAATGTGCCTAAACCTAACAGCTTGTGACTACTCACCATTAAGTGACAGTGAAAAGGCAAAGTTGTTGACAACACCCGATTATTTTCCATAATACACCTTTGGAGTGAATATATTTTGACCATGTCACCATATTGTGTCTGGCCAAAACAAAAACTCTTCTCCTACTCAGAGGAAGCGATTTCTGCATCTTAACCCCTGTTGTTACAGCAAAATGAAAACACTGAAGCCGCACCTGCCCCCTCCAGGTCTCCTTCCACCCTCTCTTTCTGGGAACTGCTTTCCCAATGTCAGTATAAATGTTGAAAACAGCATGCCGGGAGCATTGGCGCCCCTCGGAGCACATGACAGGGGGACACACTAGGAGGGAATGGAAGGGCCAAGGCCGCAGAGCACAGAAAACGGACCTGACTGGTGGTATCTACCAGTCAGATGGTGGTGCACATCTGAAATGTCTTTCAGTCTTACTCGGTACATGGGGAAATTGGTATTACACAGAATGATGGAAAGGACAGTGGCTGAAAATGGACAACAGTCTGCACATTAAAAAAAAAAATGATCTGCTATTTGGCTTTCAGAAAACCATTAAAAAAACTTCAAGGAAACAAAAGAAAAGCCAAATCAAGAAAACCTGGTAGGCACTGAGGCTTCATGGGGCCATGAGCCTCAGGGCCCATGACAGGTCTGGGAGTTCAGAGGCCTACCCACCAGAGGACCCCGATTTCCACTGCTCAGGCAGATCTTACTTGCAGTTACAGAAAACACATTAAAGTGCAGTACAAAAGTATAAAAAAGTTGGTTTCTAAATGTATCAACTTACTAATTTTCCTTAAAAAGTAACTTTTTATGTTAGTTGAGTAAAAATCGTTTATTGGCTATGTGTGCGTTAAGAGTCATCACTGTAATATGAAAACTGGAGTTCATGGACACCTTCTGTCCACAGCAGAGTATAAACCAGTATCAGTGAAGAACACTACAAAACGTGGCTTGTGGCAGGTTCTCTGCCGAGCAGTTTAAAAAATGTAGCATCAGAATCCAGAGAATTCTTAACATTTGCTCCTAATGGCCTGTTTTTAAAGGAGCTGAGTATGCACATGTCACATTAGATAATTCTATTGTTTCAAGTGGTGGAAAGGTGAACGTGCAGATGAATGAACAGTATCGAATTACAGCAGCAAAACTGGTTTTAGGTGTTGTAAATGCCCTACTGCAGGCCAGCTCATCTTTCCAGATCACTTGCTGGGTCTACGTTGCCACCACCCAGGAACACTGCCGGCTCGATCTGAATGTTCTAGAAATGAATCAAGAGTGCTCCTCAACCATTAGTCAGTTAGGCCAGCCAAACCAAAGAAATTCAATGTTAACTACACATTCTAACTGACCCCGGAAATCAGTTCCAACATTAGTGGTTAGTTAAGGTGGAAGAGAGATAAAAATGAAAGGTTCACCTCACAAAATATGAAGTATAACAGAGCAACAAAATTACAAATGTTAAAAGTACTTCATACAAAACATCAAAAGTTTAAAAAAAAATTAAATTCTCAGGCACAGGTACTGTAAAATGTGGACGGGCAGCCCTCCAATAATCTGTCGGAAACACGCAGCTGTATTACTCATGCGGAATGTTTTCTTCATCTTGCAATGTGTTTTCTGGAAAAACAAAGCACAACATGTTTAGATGGAAGCAGTGCGATGCTCCTGCTAGGATCATCAACAACATTATTTTCTGTATCACAAAGGGCACAAATTGAGCAGAAGGCTGGCTCACGTGACCAGAGTTAACTAAATCAAAACGGCATTGATGAGGCTCTTGGGAACTTGGGAGTTACCACCAAACTGAAAAGGGTACAAAAATATAAAGTGGCTGCATACACCTAAAGTAGAATTTTCCTGATTTCATAATTAAAGTTTTTAAAAGAAAAGCAGGAAAATCAGAGAAAATGAGCAAACATCGGTCACTCCCTCCTGCCTCAAATGAGCCCTCCCCATCAGAAGTCCTGTTTCCTGCTAATTCCCCAGCACTTCCCCATCAGGCACCAAACCTGCTCACGCACGATCAGCCTCCCGAGCTTGGGCGGTGCTGACATCTCCCCAGTGAGAGGCGCACAGGCAAATCACTGGAAACCCTGGCACGCGATCGGTGTCCACGGCAGTGCAGCGCAGACTCAGCGCATGGCCTCGCGACTGCCGGGAGGTGTCGACAACCAACTCTGGGCTGCTGTTCAACCCCAAGTGGGGATATGTGGACACTCCCGTTCCAGTAACCGGGGACACCAAACAGGTGTATCTGTTTGCTTCACAACTGAAACCTTGCCCCACAAGCCGCAAGGGCCGGGCTTTGTTTTGGTGGCCAATGCTCCCAGGGTGAGCCTGCAGGGCCTCCTCTATCACGCGTGCGACTGCCACGGTGGACTCCTGACAGTGGGTAGACTCCTCCCAGCCTCCAGGTTCCTCGCTTTCTGTCTCATCAATCCTGCCCTATGTCAGCTAAGCTTCAGCTCACTTATGTCCCCACATCATCTCTCTCTTGTCGTCAACACTCTCCTGCCTCTGCAATCAGGCCCCACCTGTAGTGGACTCTGTACTTGCAGCACCCCCAGACCTGTGCCAGCGCTAAGCACCTCTCTTCCATGGAGCCTCTGCCTGAAACCCACATAGCTGCTTCCTCCTCGGGCCTGTATTTGACTTAACCCCTCCCTCCTTCCTCTGGGAGGTGATGACAGCAGTTCCACAGACACCTGTCCACAGAATACAGGGGAACATTTGCCCTTTCCTGGTCCTGGGTCCCTGCTGTCTGCAGATTCCCTTCAAACAGGGAGGCGAGCGCACACTGGGCTAGACATCTACGAGATTCACTGATTACCACGGGGCGGAGCAGGGCTGCGGTGGGATCAGCAGTCTGGATCAAGGAACCCCTGGCCTACCTGGTATAATTCACCTTTTCACGTCACCTTTACCTTTGGTTTGCAAAAACTGTTTTAATAACACTTTGAAATTCTCTTTGAAGAGATGTTTTCAACTGCAACAAATTTCCAATTGTATGACTAGTAAACGTTATTAAAAAAATTTTTTTTAACGTTTTATTTATTTTTGAGACTGAGTGTGAGTGGGGGAGGTGCAGAGAGAGAGAGAGGGAGACACAGTATGCAAAGCAGCTCCAGGCTCTGAGCTGTCAGTACAGAGCCCGACGTGGAGCTTGGACCCATGAACTGTGAGATCATGACCTGAGCCGAAGCTGGATGCCCAACTGACTAAGCCACCCAGGGCCCCCTAGCAAAGCTTATTTTAAAATATTTAACTTATTTTCGTTAATCACGTTTATCAGCTCAGAAAATATGGAAAATCTTTTCTACATTGGCAGGGGAGAAGGTTCCATCTTTTAGAGGCCACACTGTCTCCTTTAAGGTCGGTAATAAAGTTAAAGACAGAGCTTCAACATGCAAAACGTTAGTAAGACTTAAGGAGGAGGTGCCCGCCATTACATTTAGGTTGAGGTGTCTGGAACCACACGTGTCTTCTAGGCTTCACTGTTACCTTACACGTGGTGCCCGTGGGCCCCACCGTCGCCGTCCCCGCCCTGCAGCTGCAGCTGCATCTGCGCCTGCATCCTGGCGATCATCTCCTGCATGCGGCGGAGCTGTGGGCAAGGATGGGCAGACAGGTTATTGCTTCTCCAGGTCCGTTCTCCCTGGACATTCTTTAGAGGTGTTCTCGTGATTCCTAAAACTTCAACCTCCATGCTTTCCCAAAACATTATAGAGAATTTAGAAAGAACTCCTACAGATCAGTAAAAGAACCAACAACTCAATAGAAAACCAAGCAAATGATAATATGCAATTCAAGCAAGAAACAGAAACGATCAATAAACACGAGAATTCAGTAAAGGCAACAGGAGATATTCTTTAACCTAGAGGGTGGGAAAGAGGCTGCCACTTCAGGGTGGGGAGTAGGACTGGGCTCTTCTGGAAGGGAGCAAGGCCCTAGCTGTTCCAGTGCTGAGTGGGCCTTCCCTGCCACCCTCATCAAATTTCATCATTACGGTCTCCACTGGTTTAGAAAGGCCTCCAGGCAAGCATTATAAAGTATCTACCTAAATTTTCTTCAGGTAACTTTGTAGTCATGTTTTTAACATTTAAGTATTTTAATCCATACTGAATTATTAGAGCCAAAGAAGTGAGTTTAATTTTGTTTCGAAAAGGCTTGCCTGTTTGAGGATTTCCTGGATATGCTTGAATTCCACAGCCCTAACAGAACCCACCTTTACCACAGACACTTGTTTAAACTTCAGACCTATTTCCAGCTGTGAATGTCATCAGCCCGTCAAGCCTGTGCCCCACTCTGGATTTCCACGAGCAGTGGAGCCAGCCCTCCTGGGTTAGTCTCCCTGACCCTCCTGTGCTCAGTCTTCAGATCAAACATCACAACTATGTCAGCAAGCTTCCCCCAGAAGAATTTCGCAAACCCCACCATTCTGATGGAATGGAGTTCAGTTTAGAGAGCACTGTGATCTGTGCACTGAGCGTCCTACCTAAAGTGATGTGTCCATTTACACTTTGAAAATTGTTTTCGGTAGAGTGTTCTAGTTTCTTTTCTGTAGGAGTCCTACGTATTTCTTCTTAAGTTTTTGTTAATGGTTGTAAACGGCAGTCTCTTTCATTATATTTTCAACTGGTTATTGTCCAGGTATAGGAAAGCTACTAAATTTTGAATATTACTAAATTATCAAATTTGCTAATAAGCCTTAGTAACTAAAGTCACTAAATTCGCACTATTCCCCAATTTTTCCCACTAAATTGCTACTGGAGATCAGACGGTAACACATGTAAAGCACTAATCTACAACACATACCGATGTACATGTAATAAAATAAATTAGTGACCTATGATGTATCCCTTAAGAGAGTAAGGAAAGAAAACTGTAATGATGTACGGATGCACGCTATAGGCCTTTAGACTTAACAGGAACCCTTTTCTACTTACCTCAGCTTCCTTCTCCAGCAGGATCTGATCTTTATTCATGTCCTCATTGTCCACTTTTCTAAGAGTTGAACGAAATTACAATTTATCACATTGCAACTAATTTAGCTGGTTATTTCTGATGACAAATGTCCAAAGTAAAATTTCACTTTATGTTTTTGAGAAATGTTATCTATCTAAAATTACCCACATGCATTATTTTTCTGATTAACGACATAAACAGGTAAGAAGACAATGTTGGAAAAATGCACATCGTGAAATGGTAAATTCAAGAAACTTTCCTAACTCCAAGCGGGGCTGGGACACTCTGGTCTTTACTTACTCAAGGAATATGAGACATTATCAGGAGCATACTCTTTTTAAGGTAAGCTCTTTACGGACATAGATGATAACAAGTTCACTTAAAAAAGGGAGGGAGCAGGTCCTGAGCACACACACAGAAGATGCCGGTGAGGGAGGCCCTCTGAGCGATGAGGACATAACTCTTCGTGAACTCATGCCTGGCTCACTCACAGTGGGATGTTCTTGTGGCTTCTAAAACCCGTCTTCATGTCTGGTCCCCAAACAAATAACATGATAAAGCAGACCTTAACATATACCCTGTATACACACACAAACCCACCAGATGTCAAGAATGTGAGTACTTTAAAATAAACTACAACACGGCAGTCTCCCCCTTATCTGCGGTTTCAGTGGACCGTGGTCAGCTGTCATCCGAAGGCAGGCGACCCTCTCAAGCGTCAGGTCAGCAGCGGCCCAGGGCCCCGACACGCCGTCCAGGTATTCCCCCCACCTCACCTCATCCATCACATGGGCATCCTAGCATCTCACGGCATCACAAGGGGCGTGGTGAGAGCAGGGCAGGAAGCTCGTTCGTGTACTCTGATTAGAGTACGTGGCTGTAACTGTGGCACCGAATTACTGTTGTTGTTACTCCCTCACTGCATCCGATTTATAGATTAAACTTTATCGCAGACACGTACATATAGGAAACAGGTGCATGGGTAGAATATTTGGCACCATCCGCGGCCAGGCATCTGCTGGGGGCACTGGAACGTGCTCCTGTGGCTCAGGTATGTGGGAGCAACTACTGTACAGAAAACTCTTTTTGTAAGTGATGAAGGTCACTACCTTGATAGCTAAACTGGGCAGAGATGTGATGTGACCAGACACAAATCAGGTCACAACACACAGACCTTGAGTAAAAACCCACTACGATGGTGAAACAGGAAAGGTGAGGGCAGCCGCCTGTGTCACTGAGGAGCTGGGCTGCTGCTCACCCCACCTGGGGAGCTGTGCTTCGTAACATCACGTGAAGTCTGTCCTCACTGACAGAGTGATGTTCTTGAGACCAGTCACTGGCCTTTCCACCTAAAGCTGTTCTTTGCATGCAGATGATTAAAGCTACCTTGGACAGATTAAACAAAGCACGACACAGTGACATGAGCAACAGGTACCTGGAAAGAGCTTCTGAGTAGGAAACCAAATCATGTTGCTTAGAGTCAGGAAGACAAAGTAGGAAAGGTGGAAGGGGGGCCAGTGGGACTCTGTGACGCAGTATGGGCAGAAGGACAGTATAAATTGGGGGTAACAACCTGCCACCTCTTTTGAGCCTCTCGGAACGGAAGTTTTCATAATGCAGGTCCTGGGTCACCTCCTGGAGATCCTGCATGTGGGTGCTGGAGGAGAAAAGGGCACAGCAAGGCCGGCTGAGTGCGGAGCCATCTGCACGGAGAAACTAAAACCCCACTTGCTACTTCTAAATCGTACATGAAGTTGCTGGAGCTTTGGATACAGGAAGGAAGCTACAGAGGCCTCTCTCTCCTCCCTACCACGAGCAAGGGCGCACAAGCACACAGCACAGGGTCAGGTACAGAGGCCCTTCCGTGGGATGCCTCCCCCAGGCACTGCCCACCTCTGCATGAGACTGTCACCGGTGCACGAGGCAGAGATTTTAGCAGACCCTTTTAGGTAAACAATGTCTGAAACACAACGTACTTTTTGTTTTCTCTCTTTCGACTATTCCTGACTTCTCAAGCTTAAAGAGTTGGTCAGTGTAAGCTATCAGCAAGACCATAAAACAAAGTATTAATATTTTGGAAAAACTAGAGATAGCACTTTGCATCCTGTAATCATCTCAGAAAACACTCATCATTTTTTTGGCTCGGCTCTTTCAAATACATAAACTGCCAGGAACGAGTGACGATGAGGCATTCTTGTCTGCTGCTTAGAGTCTAGAGAAGGGGACCAGTGACAGCAGAGGGTGGCGGGCTCTCCGTCACTCTAAGAAGCACGCAGGAAGCTGCCAGCAAACAGCAGCATGACCACAAGGACCCATCCTGAGTGACCTAAATGATGCCTGAGAAAGCTTGTGGCGTCGTTCTAATTCTAGTTTTTTTCTGTTTATTCTTTTTCTGTTTATTAAAAATTGCTCAACCAAGACACACGTCGATGAGCACGGACATCAATTTTTAGTTACTCAAAATGCACCTCATCTGTTCTTTGAATTCTGCTAATTAAAGAGATTCTAGATTTTAGCAACACTCTTCCTTTCAGCCTGATTCAAGAGCAATAGCACGTGCATGTATGTCACTAAATGCGAACTCTACTTCTCAGAGGGAAAACGTGTGCTGCTGTAGCCAGGCCTGTGGGAGGTGCTGAGAGTGCACTGAGGACCCTCCCGGTGGCCCCAGGGCGGGAAGGGAGGCTGCCTGCCATCCTGCAGCGCCTGAGCCTTTGTGCCCAGAGCAGGTGTTCGGGCGTGGCCAGGCCACAGTTTAGGACCAGTCTGCTTTCAGCGTCAAGAGAGCTGGCTGATGAGAAAGGAGAGGGTGCTAAGCCACAGGCCTCGAGTGGGAGAGGTTGGTTCTGTAGAACCACAGAGAGCTCCCGGTGAGGGCCTTCCATAACAGGTGCAGCGGCCCCACCACCTAATACCTGTGGCGCCGGCAGCTGTCTGCGAGGCTACACGCACACCCTGTGGTCAAAAAGCTCTGCTTCCTGCTATAGGCACTGCCAACGGGAACGCACGGATGTCTTACATGAGCATCGTCCGCAGCTTCAGAAAGTCATTGTGCTCCGGGTTCTCCACCTCCACAACGCCCCACGGGTAGAGACGGCCTCTGACCTTCTTGCCCTTGGCTTCGATCAACTGATTGGACCCGACCACGGAGAATGGGATACTGGCCTAGAGAGAGACACATGAGGTAGACCGGGGCCCCACCGGAAAGCCCAATTCTCGCCGTGAGCACACGAACACGGGCACAGACGGAGCACGCTGCGGCTTACTGCAAGATCTCCTCGGAGAGCTAACGGTGTTTAGCTAACGGTGAGCTAAGGACATATTACTCAGAAGGACAGGTGTTTTCCACACGGGACAAATTAGATGGAAACATATTAAACCCGCAATAAGATTTCTAAACCTCAGGTGGCAGCTGTATCAAAATATATTTAAAGCAAAACACTATGAATCTCTCAAAGGTCAGCCATCCTGGATATGGCCCTTTGCCAACTCCTTCCAGGGTGCTCATGACAGAGCAGGAGTGACTCGTGTTGGGCACCCGGAGAGGTGTTCTTACCTTGAGAAGTCTAGTCTGCTCTTTAAAATCCTCATCTTCATCGGATTCTGCATCGGGTAAGTGATAGATTTTGATATTATGTTCCTCAATTTCATCCAGAATCTGGAAAAATGACAAAGACAGGAGCAATTTTACCAAACAACTCATATTAAAGACAGGGGTGCCTGGGGCACCTGGGGGGCTTAGTTGGTTAAGTGTGGATTTCAGCTCAGGTTATGATCCTGGTTCGTGGGATTGAGCCCCACATTGGGCTCTGTGCTGACAGCACGGAACCCGCTTGAGAGTCTCTCTCCCACTCTTGCCCTTCCCCTGCTCATGTTCTCTCCTCTCTCTCAAAAAAACCAACCAACCAAACCAGATAAACCCCCCAATAAACAGAACTATCCAAATGCCAACACAGAATCAAGCTGATCACTGACTGCCAAGCGATTTCCTGTTAAGAAAGGCCTCGTGCTTGCATGTTGAGGGGACCCCCTCTGCCCAGGGATGACAATAACAGTGTGCCGCTGCTTTCAGGGCACAGAGCAGCAGGCAGACAATCACTCCAGCACGGCAGCTAACAGGAAACACACTACAACCAGCTTCAGGAATGACACGTACCCAGGGAGTGGCACACCCAGACGCCGCAGGCCCCAGAAGAGCCACAAGCATTGTCTGAGGAGTCGGCAGGTGTGAGGGCTGGAGGGAGGGAGGGGCCTCTAGGGACCACGAAACCCAGGGTGGCCAGGAAGTCAGCTTCCAGGTTGGGGAAGACAGAAGAGTAACTGGAGTTACCAAGTGGAGAGTTCCCTGGAAGCCAAGCTGGGTTCTGGGTTTTGTTCAAGAGGCAAAAAGTGGCAGCCATAGAACCACACACTCAAACCAATTGAGCAAGCGGGAGAGTGGCCCAGAGGGCACGAAAACCTGGGCTGGAGATGAAGGAAGCAGCTGCGCACCCGCTAGCCAGCCCGCGCCCAGCCCCCAAGCGCCTTCTGTGCAGGGAGCGCCAGCAGATACGGGCAGGCTGGAGCTTCGCCTCCGCCGAGTGGGCAGAAATATCCCTGCTTTGAACCCTGCTCTGGCATTGGTGGTTCTTAACGGGAACTCTGGGGCCTTTACGATTAAAGGATCAAAGATCGTGGGACTTAACGCGTTGTCTGCACTAATTCAGGACTCGCAAAGAGGTCTTTCTCCCTCCTCCCAACATCCTTCCCCTTCCAACTGGACCATCTGTGCTTTCAGAGCCCTCCCTCCTAGAGGAAGCAGAGGAACCATCTCACTGGTGGGAGAAGCCCAGCAGTGAGCAAGAACCTCCTCCATCTGTTCCTCTTTCCTGCCCATCATCCACCCCTGCTGCCCCATCAGGACAAGGCTTACGAGACAAGGACGAGAACCGAGTTGACAAAACGCAGTAAATGGGCGATTTCCAACCGGAAAAGAGGAAGAAAGTGATGAATCAAAGGTAGTCACACATTTCCCTGTCTGGGCAGCCACACCAAAGATGGGGGTGCAGGTGGAGCCAGGGAAGCTGGGTAACCAACTCAGGACCGGGATG